TTTTTTAGTAGAGGTGAGGTTTTACCATGTTGGCCAGCATGGTCTCAATCTCCTGACCTCGTGATCCACCCACCTTGGCCTTCCAAAATGCTGGAATTATGCTGGAATTATAGGTGTGAACCACTGCGCCTGGCCTAAGTTTTAAAACTTTTGTAGAGATGGGGTCTTGCCAGGTTGCCCAGGCTGGTCTAAAACTCCTGGGCTCAGGAGATCTCCTGCCTCCTGGGCTCAAGAGATCCTTCCAAAGTGCTGGGATTACAGGTGTGAGGCACTGCACTCAGCAATCACGGAACTGCCATTTATGGATGTATACAATTACACACATCACTTAATTTCCATGAATCATTTATAATATGGGAATTTAAAAAAAGCTCTCTTTTACCCAAGCTCCAATGTTACTGTGAGAACAATAAGCTGGTGAATTGAAAATGCTTTGTAAAGTAAAAAAACTAGGTCCAGTGTTTCACAATAGTGAGTACAAAATAGATTGCTGCTATGGTTTGAATATAAGTCGGCTCCCTCCAAAACTCACATTGAAGCTTGGTCCCCAATGTGATGGTGTTGAGAGGTGGTGGAACCTTTTGGAGGCATTTGGTTGAGGAATCCACCCTCAGAAAGGGATTAATGCCATCTCTTAGTTACTGAGAGAGCAGGCTGTTATAAAGCAAGGGTGCCTCTCATGTTTGGTCCCTTTTTGTACACTCCTGCTTTCCCTTCCAGTTCTCGGCCTTTCTCTGCCATTCTCTGCCATGTTGTGTTACAGCACAAGGCCCTCACCAGAAGCGAGCAGATGCCAGTGCCATGCTTCTTGGACTTTCCAGCCTCCAGAACTGTGAGCCGGACAAACGTCTTTTCCTTATAAATGACCCAGTTTCTCAGGTATTCTGTTATGGCAACAGAAAATGAACTAAGACAACACTGGTTAAAGGAAAGCAATATTGAGCCAATACATGTAAAACTAGGTGTAAATTTCTTTTGCTAATAACACTTATAAAAATCCAAAAGAATTTACAAAATATAAACAAAAATAAAATACAATTAATTTCAATTAACAATACTGATTATTGTGCCGATGATGTTGTTTTATTGGCTTATATACACATGGTACTGAGTGTACGGACGAGGTTCATTTGGACTGGATATGCATGCCACGTAATCATTCAGTTTTCTCCATTGTTTCCACTGTGAAACGGTTTATTTACACAATGCACCATTTGGCTTTCACATAGAAATATCATTTATGTGTATTCAGTACACCTCCACTTCTTTAAATTTTCCATTTCATTTGGCGATCATAATAGGCATCGTGATTTTAGTGTGGCAGTATGTATCAGAAAATCCATATAACGGTGACTTGAAAAATTAGGGAACAAAAGAAGCGCAAGACTTATACACTGAAAACTGAAGGCTAGGCGTGGTGGCTCACACCTGCTATCCCAGCACTTTGGGAGAGTGGATCACTTGAGGCCAGTGGGTAGGTAAATCACTTGAGGCCAGTAGTTCAAGGCCAGCCTGGCCGACACGGTGAAACCCTGTCTCTACTGAAAATACAAAAATTAGCCAGGTGTGGTAGTACATGCCTGTAATCCTAGCTACGTGGGAGGCTGAGGCATGAAAATCACTTGAGCCTGAGAGGCAGAGGTTGCAATGAGATGAGATCACACAAATACAGTCCAGCCTGGGTGACAGAGTGAGACTCTGCCAAAAGAAAAAAAGAGAGAGAGAGAGAAAAAAAAACCCTACAAAACATTGCTAAGAGAAATTAAAGAAGATCTAAATAAGGGAATTGGAAGACTCAGTATTATTAAAATAGCAATGCCCCTCAACGTGATCTATAGAGTCAACATAATTCCTACAGAAATCCCAGCAGGCTTTTGGGCAGGAATTGACAAGCTGATCCTAAAATGTATATGGAAATGCAAAGGACCTAGAAAAGCCAAAACAATCTTAAAAAAGAACAAAGTTGGAAAACTTAGACTTCCCAATTTTAAAACTTACTATAAAGCTACATTAATGAAGACTGTGTGGTACTGGCATAAGGGTAGACATATAGATCAATGGAACAGAATTGAGAGTCTAGAAATAAAGCTTTACATTTATAGTCCATTGATTTTTGACAAAGGTGCCAAGGTAATTCAATGAAGAAAGGACAGTCTTTTCAACAGATGGTGCTGGGACAACTGGATATCTGCATGCAGAAAGATGAATATAGATACCTCACACTACACAAAAATGAACTCAAAATGAATCATATGCCAAGTGTAAAAGCTAAAACTATAAAACGTGTAGAAGAAAACAGAAGGTCTTTGTAACCCTATGTTAGACAAAGTGTTCTTAAACATAACACCAAAGCATAATCCATGAAAGAAAAAATTGAAAAAATGGACTTCATCAAAATTAAAAACTTTTGTGCTATAAGAACCATCAGTAAGAAAATGAAAAGTAAGCCACAGCCTGGGAGAAAATACAGACAAATACTATATCTGGTAAAGGATCTGTATCCAGAATATATAAAAATCACCTGTAAGTTAATAATAAGACAAGCCAATTAAAAATGGGCAACAGTTGAATAGACATTTCACCAAAGAAACATGAATGGCTAATAAGCATTTGAAAAGATGCTCAACATCATTAGTCATAGGGGAAATGAAAATTAAAACTATAATGAGATGCTATTATACTTCATGCCCAGCAGAATGGATATAATAAAAAGACAAAATAATTTTTGATAAGAATATGAAAATACTGTAAACCTCATGCATTGCCAGTGGGAGTATAAGATAATGTGTTTACTTTGGAAAACAGTTTGACAGTTTCTTATAAAATGAAACATAAATTTATCATATGACCTCAGAATTCCTCTCTTGAGAATCTACCCAAGAGATGAGAAAACATACATCTATACCAAGATGTATATGTATTCATGCAACATTATTCATAATGTCTAAAAAGTGAAAACAATCCACATGTCCATTAACTGGTAAACAGACAACCTGAATATAATACAGCCACACAACAGAATATTATTCAGCAACAAGAAGGAACTACTGATATGTGCTACAGCATGGAAGACTATAAAAACAACAAGTTAAGTGAAAGAAGCCAGATGTAAAAGATTGCATTCTCTATAATCCCATTTACATGAAATGTTCAGGCCGGGTGTGGTGGCTCAGGCCTGTAATTCCAGGACACTGGGCGGCTGAGGCAGGTGGATCACGAGGTCAGGAGATTGAGACCATCCTGGCCAACATGGTGAAACCTTGTCTCTACTAAAAATACAAAAATTAGCTGGGTGTGGTGGCATGTGCCTGTAGTCTCAGCTTCTCAGGAGCCTGAGGCAGGAGAATTGCTTGAACCTGGGAGGCAGAAGCTGCAGTGAGCTGGGATTGTGCCACTGCACTCTAGCCTGGCAACAGAGCGAGACTCCGTTTCCAAAACAAAACAAAACAAAAAACTATGCTTACTAAAAATCACTGTACATTTATAACAGGTGAATTGTATAGTATGTAAATTGTATCTTTTTTTTTTTTTTTTTACAGTGTTTCATTCTGTCACCCAGGCTGGAGTGCAGTAGTGCAACCTCGGCTGACTGCAACCTACGCCTCCTGGGCTCAAGTGATCCTCCTGCTTCAGCCTCCCAAATAGCTGGGATTACAGATGCATGCCACTACACCCCAGCTAATTTTTGTATTTTTTTTGTAGAGACAGGGTTCTGCCACATTGGCCAGGCTAGTCTTGAACTCCTGGGCTCAAATGATCCACCTGCCTCGACCTCCCAAAGTGCCAGGATTACAGGCATGAGCCACTGCGCCTGGCCATAAATCATATCTTAATAAAGCTGTTTTAAAAATTAGCTTATTTTTTTCTACATAATGAAGTGTCTGCAGACAGCCACATCCTGGGCTGGTATAATGAGGGTTTTTTTTGTTGTCATTAGAGACCGAGAATCCTTATATCTTTGCCTCCACCACCGATAAGATATGGACTTGCCCTCATGGTCCTATCTCAACTTCCTTCCTGGCTACATGAGGAGAAAAAGTGGAGTGAGAAAGACATTCACCATTGCTTCTTGACCTTTTGTCTGAGATCAAATGTAGCACCTGCTCTTATCAGTTTAATACCTGATATGTCCTCTATCTCAAGAGTCAGGATCTTTTAAGGATCTTTCTGGGAGGCCTCATCCAGTATCTCAGATATCATGAGCTAAAACTTTGCCACATGAATATTGGTAACTGCAAGGGAGTCTGAGAAGCGGAGAACTATTGCTGATTCCAGTTAAATGAGGTTTCTGTTAGTAAGGTAGAAGGGAAGAATGGATATTGGGTAAAGTAGCTCGAAATCTTTGGGGTTGAGAAACATGTCTTGGTGTCAGTGTAAACACAGATAGAACCAGCATGACTTATATCACAGAGCAGTCCTTGCTTATAAGGTGATAAACCAGAATATACTTAATATTAATGGGTTCTTATCAAAATAAAAACAAAACAATTAAATTCTTAGGGAAAGCATAAGGGCTCCAGAGAAGCTATCTCTTACTCTGTTGAGAAACACTAAGCTGAACAAATGTTTCTTGTTGATTGTATTTTTATTTCTAAGATAAAAACTTGAGGGCTGAGCCATTTGGTATGGTAGGAAAAACAGGGCTTTTGAGTTAGAAATGTCTGGATTTAAAAATTGACCACACTGTTTACCTATGCTTTGGGCACATTCCATAACTTAGCTAAGCCTCAATTTCCTCTTCTGTACAACAGCAATAATACCTGCCTTACCAGGTTATTGGGAGGACTTAAGAATACAGCCATGTGGCCAGGCAGGGTGGCCTGTAATCCCAGCACTTTGCGAGGCTGAGGCAGGCAGATCATCTGAGGTTGGAAGCTCGAGACTAGCCAGGCCAATATGGTGAAACCCTGTCTCTACTAAAAATACAAAATTAGCCAGGCGTGGTGATGCACGTCTGTAATCCCAGCTATTCAGGAGGCTGAGGCAGGAGAATCGCTTGAACCCAGGAGGTGGAAGTTGCAGTGAGCTGAGATTGTGCCGCTGCACTCCACAGCCTAGGTGACAGAGCAAGACTCTGTCAAAAAAAGAAGAAAGAAGAAAAGAAAAGAAGGAGGAGGAGGAGGAGGAGAAAGAGGAGGAGGTGGAGGAGGTGGAGGAGGAGGAGAAGGAGGAGGAGGAGGAGGAGGAGGAGGAGGAGGAGGAGGAGGAGAGAGAGAAGGAGAAGACAGCATGTGTAAAACACCTGCCTGTACATTTGTTTCCTTCATAACTCACACTGTAGTGACACAGCCCTGCCTCATGCACCATCAAACAACAAGTCCTCTTTTTTTCTTGCCAAAATTAAACAGCTGTCCAGCTATATTTTCTCCACATTTCCTAAGCTGAGACTTTTTCCCAAGAGAACTCCTTAGAGATCATCTATTCAGCGCGCACACACACACACACACACACACACACATTATGATGTGGGGCAAAGCAAAACAAACAAAAACCCACTGAAAATAAAATTAACACATGGAGAACAAAATTCTAGAAATACTCTTTTATTTTTGTATCCAAAGTTTTGTTAATATTCCTAATAGCTAATCTTTTTACAGAATCAGAGAGATTATGTACTTGGCACATTATGAAAGGTGGGTGCTTTGTCAAGTGTTTGTGAAAGCAGGTGTGCAGGCGGGTTGGCTCGCATGAACCCAGGTCATCCATTACTTGACCATTCATTCATACATCAGTGTGACTAAGCCAGCGTGGAGCCTCTTCCATCACTTTCTCCCTGAAGCACAAACACAGGTTAAAACGGGACTGTTCAAATGGGTGGACTGTGATAGACTTACAATTCTTAAGTGGTTTGCAACTTCAGTAGCTTTTAAAAGTCTCTGTAAACACTGATGGAACAGGGCTGGGCATGATGGCTCACACCTGTTATCCCAGCACTTTGGGAGGCCGAGGCGAGTGGATCACCAGAGGTCAGGACTTCGAGACCAGCCTGACCAACATGTAGAAACCCCGTCTCTACTGAAAATACAAAATTAGCCAGGCATAGTGGCACACGGTTGTAATCCCAGCTACTCGGGAGGCTGAGGCAAGAGAATCACTTGAACCTGGAGGCGGAGGTTGCAGTGAGCTGAGACTGCACTCTAGCCTGGTCAACATGAGTGAGACTCCATCTCAAGGAAAAAAAAAAAAAAAAAGCAAACAAAAAGTCACTGTCTGAACAAAATCCATATTTCCGCAAGAATGTGATGTCTCTCAAAGAAGGACTCTGAAGCAAAATTGTGAAATTTGTCAACTGAAAGGTAGAACCAATATTTAGCGTCTATCTTTATTCTCTACAAAATAACAAAATTGTAATCATGACCATTTTGATCATACACAGCATTTAGTTTACTTAATGAAGAGACAAGTGCAGGCTGGCAAAACTGACACAATACTTTAGGACACAACATTACAGTATGGTTTTCCAGTCACTTTTTCCCAATGATTTATTTTTTCCCTGTCCCATGACCTACCTGATCGCTATGAAACTTATCTGCCCATTTTTCTCCTCCCCTGTGAAAAGGTGAAGAGAAAGATGGCACATGCCTCCTCTCCAAAGCAGGTCTTACAGGCACCACGGGAGGTGAGGGCCCTGCCCAGGAAGCAGTGCAGCTTCTCCAGTGAGTGGCAGCCCTGCCTGCCAAGACCAGACAGCTGTCGGGACTTCTACAGCTGTGGCTGCCGCTGTTTCCCAGAACTCGCCTTCAGCTCCCAGACTAGGAAATCCTCTCTGTCCTTTGGTGCCTCCCACAGCTACTGGCAGTGACATTCTAATACTGAGTTTGTGCAAAGCTTCTCCAATCCTGAGAGCTGCCACATTTCACCCTTAAATTACAAGTCAATTAAGAGCAAAACAAAACAAAAACCTATTCTCTCTTTACTCGAGGCATTCTATATTACAATTACCATGTTGTTGCTTTTCCTCTCTATTCCTCACCCAAATCATGAAGCACAGGAAAAGTCTTGTTACCTGACATGCACAGACCAATGAAGAACCCCTTCTAACACAGTGTTGGCCTACCGCTCTAAGAACTCAACAGTAGCAATGTTGATATGGTTGTAATAAAAAATTCTGCTTTATCTGCTGGCCAGATAGAGGGTGTTCCACAACACAAAAGCAGCTGCTGAGATGTGTGTTTTGGGTTGTTGGAATGTTTTCCCATTTGTATAACGTGCAGTTTCAAAACAAAATTGATTGATTGCTTAATTGTCTTATTACGAGTACAATTGGCTGGGTGTGGTGGCTCACGCCTGTAATCCCGGCACTTTGGGAGGCCGAGGTGGGCAGATCACCTGAGGTCAGGAGTCCAAGACCAGCCTGGCCAACATGGTGAAACCCCATCTCTACTAAAAATACAAAAATTAGGCTGGACACGGTGGTTTATACCTGTAATCCCAGCACTTTGGGAGGCCAAGGTGGGTGGATCACAAGGTCAGGAGATCAACACCATCCAGGCCAACATGGTGAAACTCCATCTCTACCAAAAATACAAAAATTAGCTGGGTGTGGTAGCGCACACCTGTAATCCCAGTTGCTCGAGAGGCTGAGGCAGGAAAATCGCTTGAATCCAGGAGGTGGAGGTTGCAGTGAGCTGAGATCGCTCTACTGCACTCCAGCCTGGCAACAGAGTGAGACTCTGTCTCAAACAACAAAAAAAGAGGAGTACAATTAGGCTGGTAGAGCTGGTATTTTATTTATAAGAGAAAGCACTGGCTATGGAAGGGAGAGGAGAGCTGAACAACAGCTGGGTCTTCCGTTTGCTCATACAAGTGTCCTCTAAGCATGCAGGAGCTCAATTTGAGGAGCTGGGTGTTTTGCAGGCAGGCTCCACCCTCAAAAAGCATACCCTCTGTCTAGAGAGAAAGAACCCTGTGGACAACAATTCACAGGTGCGAAAAGAACTACAGAGTGTTTTGAGGTTGCTGGTCAGCAAGGTCAGGGAGGCCTAAGTCTTAGAGTGTCTTTGGAAGGCTTTTTTTTTTTAAAGACAGAGTCTTACTCTGTCACCAGGCACCATGCTGGAGTACAGTGGCGCAATCTCAGGTCCCTGCAACCTCCGCCTCCTGGGTTCAAGCAATTCTCCCGCCTCAGCCTCCTGAGTAGCTGGGACTACAGGCACACACGACCATGCCCAGCTAATTTTTGTATTTTTCAGTAGGGACAGGGTTTCACTATGTTGGCCAGGATGGTCTCGATCTCTTGACCTTGTGATCCACCCGCCTCAGCCTCCCAAAGTGCTGGGATTACAGGCGTGAGCCACCGCGCCCAGCTGGAAGACTTTCAATTAAACTCACTTATTCATTAAAGTACTTCTAGAAGTTTTAATTTGCTTACAACCTCCTTGTGTGTGAGAAGGTGGCACAGCCACTGTGATTCTTGTGAGAAGTAAACCCATGCCTCTGGATTCTAGAGCCAATGCTTTACTCAGACACTAGGGGTCAGCAGCTTCCAAGAGTTGTGAGTCCAGCTAAGAGCCCAATTCCTTGGGTGCTGCTAGGAGTGGGTTGGAGCTGATGCTCACAACAGGAGTCTAACAGGCACTGTAGTTGCTCTTCCAACCCCACTCTCCTTCTTTTAGGTAACTACCTTAGCTTTTATTTGAGCACCCTCAATTTCTCCTGCAAAGCCCAGGTGCTAGGGGGAAGCTGATCAGGTGGTGGGGCTTGTGGCACATTATCCCATCCCCTGGCTTCACATATGGCTTCAAGGATAAACACAAGACACTATTTGGGCCAATGAGATCGAGGAGAAATCTGCTGAGGATGACTGGGAAAACAGTTCTTGGCTCTTCTGAGAGACTTCCGGGGAGTGACAATTTCTTTTTCTCTCTCTCTCCCTAGATAGTGATGAAGAATCTCAAAGCCCTGAAGAGGAAATGCAGACAATGATTTGGCAACCGGAAGGTGTGTTGGGACAGCTGTAAATGAAACTGACTGCAAAAAACAGAGAGGTTTAAAGGAAAAAAAATAACAGGGTTACTGGTGATGCCCCATTGGGTCAATGAAACAAACACATTCTGAAGCCTTTCCTAACCAGATCTTCCCGCTGCAGGAGCCAACCAATCTCATCACTGTGAAGCCAGGTTAGTTTGGTTTTCCAGGATTTTCATCTGATTAAAGGCATGCCAAGTATACACCGAGGGGACAAAAGCAGCAACTACCAGCAAGCTTTGGAAAATGTGGCAGCAAGTGATCTGCAAGCTACTAGTTACTAAACTTTATGCCAGCTTACTCTACCCTGCAGACACCAAGCAGCAAATAAATGAGAGGGAGGGGACCCAGAATGCTTAACTGGGGAAGAAAAACTGGGTGAGGAAGACATTGTATACCCACAGCCTGCCTCTTTTCCAGTTAGCTGAGAAGCCCTTTTTATTAATTTGTTCCATTTCCTTGCCATGTCCTTAGTAGTGGAGATATATATTTTTTTGGAAATGTATTGATTACAATTATATTTCCCTACACTGGGAGGACAAGGAGATTCCCTGCTACAGGCCTTTGAAAGTAATGAACTGGCAGAGAGAACAGGCCTCCGGTTCCAGCTCTCTGCTACCAATCTCTCGCATCTGCTCAGCCCAAATCAGTCTCTAAATCCTCAGAGCCTAAAAGAGTGGGAATTCCTATAGTTTATTGTGGGGTTTTACCTGTAACTCAGTAAAGAATCACTGAAAGGTGAAAGGAGCCCTATTACAACTGCAGGGACCAGGGAAAGTTGACTCTACCTCTCTACTTTCCGTAGGTCATTATACAAAAACAAAACATCAAAGTGGTCATTGTACTATTTTCCAAAGGTGTGAGGCTATCATGATAGAGGGTGTTGATTTGAGAGTCCAACGGATCTAAGTTTAAATCTTGGCACATCTCCTTACTAGTTGTGTGACTCTGTTTCTGAGCTTCTACATCTGTAAAATGGGAATGGATAAAGCCTATCATTCAGGTTGCTCTGAAGCTTAAGTGAAATATACATGTAATTGGTTTGGTATTTAAAAAATAGTTGCTAGGATTATTATTTCAGTACTCCTCTGGAGGAAGGAACGCTGTGACAGAAGAAAACAGAAAAGTAGCCAGCTCCCTAAATATTCCCAATGTATACATATATTTCCCTGTGTGCATGCTGATGAAAGCAGTACAAGATCTTCAAAATTCATGGTCCACATGCAGGCTCTTTATCTATGTTAGGGAGTTCAGACTTTCTAATGGAAGTAATAAGCTTCTGAAGTAACTGCAGATTTGGACTTATTTATTAATGATCTAATTCCTTAGGTAGGTCTTATTTGTAGTGAAGTAGTATACAAAGGAGCTGCTCAAAAAATAAAGGTTATGGTTATCTTTGCCTTTCTTTTTTCTTTTTTGAGACAGAGTCTCCCTCTGTCTTCCAGGCTGAAGCGCAGTGGTGAGATCTTGGCTCACTGTAGCCTCCACCTTCCAGTTTCAAGCGATTCTCCTGTCTCAGCCTCCCGAATAGCTGGGATTACAGATGCCCGCTGCCACACCCAGGTAATTTTTGTATTTTTAGTAGAGATGGGTTTTACCATATTGGCTGGGCTGGTCTCGAACTCCTGACCTTCTGATCCACCCACCTCAGCCTCCCAAAGTGCTGGGATTACAGGCCTGAGCTACCGCACCTGGCCTTTCTTTGCCTTTCTTTTTAAAGATGTGGGCTCCTAATAATTTTTATCATTCACTCGGAAACAGGTGCTCAGATGAAAAGTTTAGAACTTATACCCACACATCTGTTCTAGGATTCCTGTCCTAGGCAAAGGACTTGGTAGGTATTCTGGGACAGAGGCTGGAATGGAGGTAATCTTTCTACGCTGCATAGTTAACTTGTTTCATTGATTCTTTCTATGGGAGACTTTATTTGTTTTTTCCCAATGTTTTCTCCTTTTTCCTTATTGACAGAACTCCCCCTACCCTTTGCAACACACACACACACACACACACACACACACACACACACAACTTTTAGCTCGGCATATGGATGCTTAGGATAAGAATACATTCTCCAGCCTCTCTTGCAGCATGTATGTGGTGTCACAACAACGTGACTAAATTCAGGCTAACTGGATTTAAGCAGAGGTGTCACAGGTAATTTCTGAGAAGTGTCCTTAAAGGAAGGGAGATGTGTTCTTCTTCTTCCCTTTACACTTCCTACAGTCAATTATAATACAATAGCAGTTGTTTAAGCAGCCAATTTGGACCATGAGGCAGAAAGCCATATATTAAGCAGGATTGAAATAAATAAATAAATACATAAATAAATACATAAATAAATAAAATGAAAAAACCTTCAGTCATCTTGAACCTGCCTTAGACTCCTGACCTCCACACTTCTTTTACATTCATAAGAAATAAAATCTTATCCTTTCTGAAATCCTGGCATTTTAGGTTTTCTATCACTTACAACTAAACCTAATCCAAACTGATACTTTGCTATATTCATTATGTTTTCTCTGTTCATCTTATACTGTTTTCAACATGACAAGTCACTTATAAATGGAGTATGGATTCATCAGTCATTCCCATCATATTCCCAAAATCCCACTCACATTCTCCAGAATGAATTCTACCCACAGTATAACATCAGAAAGGTCACGTCTCAGAAATGGAAAGAAATAGATTATTTTTTAAAACCAGGCACGGAACCCTTTTGTTTGTTTTACAGAAAACCCTACCTATTAAAGATGACTACTTTATTCTACTTTAGCTGGCTATTTTATGAAATGAAGAAAATTTGCTCTAGTTGCAAGTGATACAACCCTCTTAAATGCCTACTATCAATTAAAAGTAAAATACTTGTTACTTGCAATCATCAATTAGATACAATGTACTCTAGAAGGAGGTCAGGGGCCTTGGCATTCAGACATGCAAGCATTTTGTTTGTTTGTTTGTTTTGCCACTTACTTGCAACGTGACCTTGGTAAGTGACTTAACCTCTTTTTCAGTTTCTTTATCTATAAAATGAAACCTCAAACAGTACCTGCCAAAAATCAAAATAAATAAATAAATAAATAAGCTAATATGGGCAATGCATCCAGCACATAAAGGTGTGATGATAACAAGAGGCCCTCTTTGTTTGTTCTTTTGTATTTTATTGGTATAAATGAAGGGTTATGGATTTTAAGTCCATAGATCTGTGATTTAGTAAGTTTTTGTCTCTAAAATTTACTAATTTTTTAACCATAGTGGTCTTAATTTCCTTAAGACTTAGTTTCTTCCACTGTCAATCAGGCTTATAAAACAACAATAGTGACATTATTAATTGTAGCAATAACAACTGTAAACACATTGTATGGCTAGCAGATGTCGAGGGCTGCATCAAGTTCTTTGTTTTTATTATTTCATTAAAATCTGTGTTTTTTTCTACCTCCTAGGGATGTTTTTAAGGCTATAAATAGAATTAAAAAGTGATTATAAGGATACTGTAAGAGAATTTTACAAAACTGTAAGGCACACAGAAATGTAGAATTATTATTAATTGAATAGATAACTCCCTTTTAAAAAAAATCTTGATTTTTAGAAAGCAGAAGATTTCGATTATAACAGGAGGTTAATCTGTTTTTCCTTTTCAAAACCTGTATTTAAGAAGTAATGTAAAATTATATAATGCCAAAATAGAGGCATACAGTATGCTTATGGAACTGTTTACCATAAAAGTGACAACAAAATGTCCATGCAGAATAGACTGGTTTTCTCTCTTTTCTACTTTAAATGGTCTTCATTATTTCATCCAGGAAAAAATATCTGATAATTCCTAAGAAAAGTATGTTATGCTCATATGTACTAGATATAAGTATGGATTTAATACATCTGCATGTACTTTCTTTCTTTTACTTACAAACAAATGTTTATGTTCCAGAACACAGGTTTGCAAATTGATTAGAAATCAGAAATTTCTCTCCTTAGAGAAACAACATTTACAACAGTATCTTAGTTATAGTAACTGTGACCATCCCCAACTGAAAATTCTTCTTGATATAAAATCCTTGTATACAGAAACTTACTTTTATATACAGCTCTTCCATAAATTCAAGAAGATTTTGGCTTAATTTGAGTCACTCCAATTTGACGTAATGAGGGACTAAAGGACCCAGGATTGGGAAGTGAAAAGGAAGAAAAGCAGATGCCAGCAGTGGAGGTTTTTACAGAGCAGCCTTGGAAAAGATAAAGGAAGAATCCGGTCCACAGATGATTAAAAACTGCATGTTAAAACACACACACACACACACACACACACACACACACAGAGAGAGAGAGAGAGAGAGAGAGAGAGAGAGAGAGAAAGAGAGAGAGAGAGAGAGACTTAGTTGCCAATATTTAAATATAGAAATTTTCATATAGAAATCCTATGACCTGCATTTTTGGTGCAGTCACAAACAGCTGGCCATGCACACTGCTATTGAGGTCCTCTTAGACTGGCCCACTTTCACTCTCCATTTGTGGGAAAGTATCCCTCATTTAGAAATCTGTCTGGATTGTATTAAAGGCATATGAATTTAAGGTATCTGAGCTTGCACACATACCTCTGCCCTGTATATAAATGAATGTCAGTGAAACTGCAGGTCATGGGTCCTTAACAATGAAAGAAAGATCTGGCTTGGTTACCTTTTCCTTATGTCCCTGGGACCCTCATGGGCCACCAGTCAGTAAAGAACACATGTGGAGAATCACTGCCATGCAGCCACAGAGCAGCAATTACTATTGAGCTCAGTGTTCCTCAGACCCAACAGCCTTGTTGCAAAGTTCACCTTCTCGTGCCAGACATCATCTGCATAACACAAAGCTCTTAACGATATTCTGCCCCTTTAGGGTCTAAGTTTGTGACCCTGGCTTTGAATCGGTTCCCTTCCTGTATCTGTTAGTGATGGAGGGGCAGCCTCAGAAAGGGCTCCTGGAACAGGAGCATGGTCAGAGAAATGCCCAGAGAAATGCACTGGAGAAGTAGACTTGATTAACACCTGC